TTGCTCCACATGGCCTCTCCTCCTCCAGTGGGCTGGTCCAGGATTCTCTTCACATGGTGGTTTTAGGGTTCCAAAGAGAAGTAAAATAGGACAAAGCCCAATGCACCGCCATTTTTTTAGCTTACGATTGCATCAAGGTTACAAATGTCCCATCAGCCAAAGCAAGTCATGGCCGAGCCAACGATAATGTGAGGAGGCGGGAAGACTACCCAAGGGCTTGGATGGAGGGGGACACGATTCATTGGGAGCCATTATTGTAACAGTCTCACAGCTGGGAACCAACCTGACATTTATGGGGTTGGGGTTCGGGGGAAGCACCAACACAGAGATTACAGGAGCTTTCTTCTTTTTATACATTTCTACATGAGTAAGTATTTAGTAAGCATGTGCTACTCTTATAATATCACATCCTACTGAATAAGTTGAACAAATATAATCCTAAACAATATTCTTATACAGAAGCTTTAACATTATATTATTTACTTTGAATAGCATCATCAATGAGGCAATTATTCTCTTTAAATGCAAGCTTTTACATATTTAATTGATGTAAAGGTTCTACCAAAGAAGAAAAAAAGATTCCATTTTCAAAGACAAATGTGTTTCAATTTCAATGGGTAAGTCAAAGAGAAAATAGAGTTCAGGTTATAGATGGATGGGAGAAGAAACAGAACTAAGTCTCTTACGATAACATATCGACACCTGTGACTCACAGCAACGAGTTCTTTACCGATGTCCTCGCAATATTTCTCTTATGCAGTGGTTGTGCCTATGAAGGGTCACCAAATGGATCTCAAAACAGACAGCAATTATTTTGGACACTTTTTAGAGATACTAAGTACCACTCCTGGATAAAGTAGACTATAAGATTGCAGAATTTATCTAATAAGTTACATTGTCATTCAAACACTTAGCATGTTTTGGCTGGAGACCAAATGCTGGATAATATTTGACACATAAAAGAATCAAAATTAAATTCATGTATTAAGAGCCTACATACTCTTCCACTATAAAATACATCTTTTTTTTTTTTTTTTTTTGCCCGGAAGTAGGAGCATAGGTGCCAAGCACATGGGTAGCGGGCTCTTTTAAATCTTGACTAAAACTTAGTCTCAGCATTGATTCATAATATATAAAATTCTGTTGAACTCCATATAGTAATAGATGCTGACAGCTGTAATTTAAAGAGATATCTTAATAAAAATATATTAATTTTGGCACTGAAAGACAAACCTCAGATTTCCTAGCCAACATTGCTTTCTATGATCATTAACTACAGCATGTTTATAGAACTGACTTAAGCATATTGATCTGCTGATTTTATTTCATCAGATGTCAGAATGCAGAAAATGTTTTAGCCCAGTTTATAGCACCATATATATATGTGTGTATATATACATATGTATGTATATATGATGAAGTCTTTTTATTTTAAGTGCATTATGTTGCTTTTCTTGTTACCTCTGCCTTATGAGAACTACTGCTTTGAACCTCATTACAGAAAGTCTGAAATTTTAAGAACTGAAGAGACCAGGAGGATCATGTGAAGTTTTTCATATCACTGTCGTCATATTCCTACAGCATCTCTTTTTGTGCCCAGATGTATATGGCACTTAGAATATTTTTATGCTTCCTAAGAGTTATAACAGTTGAGGGTAGAAAACCTTTAATAATAAATATAGTACAAATCATATACTTATCTGAAAAATGTTCACCCTTCTAGGCCAGGCCAGCTCACCCATTCATAACTGATTTATGGTCCTAAAACACCAGTCCATAGTTGAAGTAAAGGTCCTAACGTATCCTCCCCTCCACATCTTTTGTGGCCTCTTACCTTCCCCTATCTTATTCTCCCTGGCTCCAGGCTCTTGGCCACATGACTGCAGTTGTTCATTTTCACTTTTGAGTCCTAGTCTAGGCCTAGTGATTCCCCCAAAACACCAGACACTTGGCTCATCAGGAGTCAGGGGATGAGGAAGGTGTTACCATAACTGGGTGCCCTTGGGGTCAGGAAATGGCTATCGGAACCGTTAGTTCCAGAGCTGTGCTGTTCCTGCTGGGTCCACACCAGCAAAATAGCACAGTTCCTACAGCCGCTTCTGCCCCCATGCAACTTGGTTTCTGTTTTAAGTGACATGCAGATGTATCTGATGTACATTTTAGAAATCACATCTGGAACCCTAGCTGCAAGAGAACATGAGAAATTTAGTTTTCCACCTTGCAGTCTTTCAGTTAGGAAGTTCAAATAAAGGTTGAGCAAGCTCAACTACCTCTTCTGCTTTTGTGAGTAAAGAGGTCTGAATAGTTTCAAGACCTACTAAAATGTCCCAGCCCTTCAGCAGCAAATTCTTACAGCAATTATCCCATCTACCAGAGTGTGTCTCTTGTCCTTAGATATTGCTGGGTATAACACCACCAATGCTTTAGTGATCCGAACCCTGTCTTTGTGTGTGGGCACCTTCATCTGGTACATACTCTCTCTAAACGTAATAATATCATGACTAAGAGGACAAGCTGTTCCTAATTCCCAAGATCCCAGGCAGCCTCCCCTCTTCTCTTGTTACACGTTGATGTAAGAGTCCTAACTGTGTCTCTCTAATCAACTAGAGCTTCCTGGTGTGTAACCGTTAGCCAGAGAACCTAAGTGCAGTGCCCCCCACTGGGGTTCCACCAGTTGCGTCAATACTGGCAGAGAGCAAAAGGTACAGAACAGGAAATTCCTATCTGACCATGCATTGTCACCCTAGGACCTAGTGTTCCCAATCTGGGACACACAGCAGTGTGAATCAGCAGGGATGTGGCACAGAAGTACTCCAAAACGTTGGGTGGCTATACTAGGTTACCAGCATCTTCCGTGGACCCTGCAAACCCTTGGGAGTGTGAAATAGGAACTAAGAAACTCCCCCGCATTTCTGCAACTCTCAAGGTTTTCACCTTTAAGGTTGAGGATTTGCCGACAACTCATTATTTTTCACCAGGTCATTTTTTGATTGCAGGACAGTCCTATCACTTCCTAGGCAGAACTGCTCCTAAAGTTCAGGATTTGGTAAACAGCAGCATTTTTACCCCTGATGTTCAAGTTCAGAGAAGACTGTTCTTCTTGATTAGAATTGCTTATATTGTTTTTGTGAGAAAAGTAAGTTTTCTTTTCATAAATCATCTCCTGTTGATACTGTTGCTAGATAGTGAATAAATGGTTGGCTATTATACTCCCATTTTAAAGATGAGGAAAATGACACTCAGGGAGATTAAGCAGATTGCTCAAGTCTCCAAAGACAGAAAGTGACAAGCACAGAATAAGAGCTGTGCAAATAATTTGGGTGTCATCAGCCTTGAGATCAATGACAAAGTGCAGTGTATATTAATAAAGTTGTAGGAAGCTTTTAGAAAGATGCAGAAATATTTACCCATTTGATATAATAGCACTGTTTGTCTGGGGCTTTGAATACTAGGTATGGGTTAGAAAATGCCGGTTGCATGTCCTTGGTTCTGCTTCTTCTGGCAGGTGTAACAGGAAGAAGAAAGCGCTGGGCTTCCAGTCTCATTTTACCAGCCTTGTGAGATAAGGCCCGATTCCCTTCATGTGTGCTCACCTCTAGGTACCAAAGTGAGCAGGACTTCGATGTTCTTAATCACAATTTCCTTTAAAAATAGATATGTTTAAAGATATAAATTCATGAAAGTAAGCTGCTTTTTTATAAAATGAGAGGTTACTTTGTAGAGAAGGAAATTGGGGATTTTCTCCATTTTTGAAAAAATTACAAAAATACTTACATTTCTAATATTTAGATTAAAATTGCAGAAATTTAGAGGAATTATAGAAACACAAAGAACATATCTAGAGTGGCTTCAGAAGGCTTTTTCCAATAGTCTAGGTTTATTAATAGGCCGTAATGAACCAGACACACTCTTCCCACCCACAGTTTCTTTCCTTAGGCCAGAATTTCCGCTGGTGTGTGGTCCAAGTGCTCTGAGTGAGTTCCGAGTTTGGAGAGAACATGGTGATTCCTTCAGTCTGTCTACCCTGAACTACTCCCAGCAGTCAAGGGGCTTTAGCTACAATGACCTCACCGATAAACTGTCACATTCTCCATGGTTGGTTTTCCATCTCAGCTTATCCAGACCTGTTGCTGGGTACAGGGTGAGCTGAGGACCCGAGTGGACTGGCACAGCAGAGAATGATGGAAAGCGGATCATGCAGAGAGAGGAGCAGTCAGTCATCTGGGCCCTTTGAGCGGGTGGTTGCATCATTCAGGGGTCCCAGGTGGTGAGGGTCCTCCAGTTTCAGGAAGACTTACTACAGTTCATTCATTCAGCCAATATATACTCAGTGCCTGCTGTGTGCTAGTGTTTTAACATGAACGAAGCAAGATCCCTGCCCTCATGAAGGTGACATTCTAGTGGGCATGATAAACAATAAACGCAGAAGCAAATACAGGTTAGGATGCATGAGTGCTATCTGGTTTGGAGCACAAAAGTTGAGGTTGGCACAGGAAATTAAATGTGCCCTTTTTTAGAGAAAGTACACTACCACTGGCCAGATTTCATAGTTTATATGAGAGACAGTTGAAAGAATTTCCGGGGTGGAGAGTATTGCAATCCTGGCAGTAGAGTTCCCAGATAAACTAAAAAGTAGGGAGTCTTCTGTTTAATGGGGGTGCATTGGTGTTTATCAAGGGGATGAGTTTAGGGGACTTTAGTAAATGGGTGGCATATATTGTGCTGCTTCAGATGCAGCCCAAGGAGGGTTAGCTTATGGGTGACTCATTCACCTCAGTAGGGGTCTCTTGGGAGTATCTGCCACATGAATCCAGCATGGATCAGGTGGGGAGCAGGACCAGCCTGTCATAGCTTGATCCCTTAAGACTTTCACCCCACTGATACCTCATTTCCCCCTGGTTAAGGACAAAGACATTTACATCTGGGCAGTTTCTCAGTGGTAAGAGGCATTAATCTCTATACTGAAAACTCAACAATGTGGGCCCCTTGCCTCAGCTATGGCCTTAGGTAAATCAATCCTGCTATTGGGTCTGACAGGTAAGCTAGATAAATTTCTCTCAAATTATTTACTTAGAGGATTTGGGGCATTTGAGTAACCTAAGAGTGTCAGGAAATAATACCCAAAGGCTTTGTAGATTTCACCCTCCAAAGTTAATTCATCCCACTGTAGCTGCTATTTAAGGAGGTGGAACTTGGTGGACTGTTAGGCCATTGCCTTTGTTTGCTTATGGGGCCATTGGGTTACAATGTAAACTACAACTTAGTGGCAGAGGGAGGGGGGGCACCATTCCTATTCAAAGAGGCTGGGAGGCCTTACATAACTCCTGTCCTGGGTTTCAAAGTTACATAAGGAAAACTAGCTTCCTTCCAGCTCTCCAGCAAAGTAGTAGACAAGAAATGGTTTCCCCTACTAACTGAGCTCTATGCCTCCATTAACAGTTAGCACCTGTAACAAAAAGCTGGGCCACCATCTATATCCCTTGTAAAAATTCAGGCGGGTACAGCAATGGCCACATGAGGGTTGGTGTACCTACGGAGGCAGTGAGTGGGACCAGAAGACAGTTAGTGGCAGTATGCCCCAGAAGAGTGCCAGAATCAGAAACTAGAAAAGCAAACAGTGGTGACACCAAAGCAAAGAATGGGTGCTGTGGCACAGGGCCAAAGGAAGGTGGGCTGCAGGGCACAGTAGCTGAGGGGCAGGCAGCTTTGGGTAGCACCTCATACTAAGAAGAGCCTGGGCCCTGGAGCCAAGAATGCCAAGATTTAGTTGCTGACTCTAACTCTATAATCTTGGGCGAAGATTTGAACCTTTCTGTGCCTCTATTTCTTGGCATCTAAAATGAAGATAAGAAGTATCTCAGGTTGGGAGGGCCTTTCCAGATATTATATCGTTCAGTTCGCAACAGCCAATGAGGTAGGTTCTACTTCCCGCTTTGCATACCACACAGCAAGCCCATTGTGAGCTGTCCCTGTGGAACTCTCCTCCTGGCTGCCCCACCCACTTTATCACACTGTGTGCTCACTTCCAGACTTTTTGCAGTTCCTGGGAAGTACCTGGCTCTGTCTGGCCTCCTTGCCTTTGCATACAAAGCTCACTGGGGGAAAGGGGCTTAACATTCTACCTTCACTTCAGCTCTAAATCACCTCAGAACTGACCATAGTTGTTCCCTCCAAATTTCTAAAACTTATTTTATTCATACTGATGCAAGCTTGGAAAAAATCAGTCTTTCATATTTAAGAATATAACTATTTTAACTCGAGATAGCTTGGGTAGCGGTAAATGGAAATTAAGTAAGTACTAAAGCATCCCCCCATGCCCTTTGGAAGAAAGGGAGAGGGCTATAGGGAAGAGCAGACTGAGGGATAGACCATGAACTGCTTTTGAATTATGATAGTTATTTGTGTTGTTTAGTTGGCAGTAAAATGCTGGTAGCAGACAGTTGAGCATTAGACCCAGTCACATGCGTCCGACCATCACATTATTAACTTTCCTGTAAGAAGCTATAATCTGTTTCCTCAAGTTGAATAAATTTTTACCATTTTCCCCCCAAAATTAACTCATTTTTTCTCTTTCAAATATTAGTCTCATATAAATTAGATTTTATTGACCATATACAAAAGTGTTATGGATATTATTCAGTACCTATTTCTGAAACAGTCGTCATTAAAGACCTGCATGATCTTGTTCTCTCTCCTTGTTAGTTACTTTGTTTTTGGAGTTTTGGAAGCGGCGCCAGGCAGAACTTGAGTATGAATGGGACACTGTTGAGTTACAGCAGGAAGAACAACCCCGGCCAGAATATGAGGCACGTTGTACTCACGTGGTGATAAACGAGATTACTCAGGTAAGAAGGATATTATTTAGATGCATTTTAGTCTATTTATGGCAGGAGTTCGCAACTTCGGCTGCATATTGGGATGACCCGAGGACCTTAGAAAATATTGATGCCCATCATTACATGCTCTGATGGAACTTAGAAGCCTGGGGTATGTTCTGGGCACAGGGATTTTTTTAGAGCTCTCTGGTGAGTCTGATGTGCTGCTATGCTTAGAACAATGGACACAGGAGATAAATGTGGTCCCTTCTTTCATAAAAGTAAAAAAAAGTTAGACTCTGGCATAAACGTACAGTAAGTCCTCATTTAACATCATTGATAGATTCTGCTACGTTAAGTGAAATGATGTATAATGAAGCCAGTTTTCCCATAGCCTAATTGATATTAACTAGAGTTAAATTTCTCTGTCATCTCAGCAATGTTATAATGAAATGACATTGAACGAAACAATGTCATTTGAGGGCCTCCTGTATAAGAAAAGATGTATTGATGTGTGTCCTTTCTTTTGTAATACTAGTAAAAAAAAAAAAAAAATGCAAAAATAAAAATTATACTTTGTGACCTAAATGTCACTGCTCCCCCTTCTGGCTAGGATGAGCTGCACTCGTATCCCATAGTCGGAGGAAGCATGAAGAAGGAAAACATTTGTTCAGGGTCCGACTGTGTTCGGGCAGGGTGCGAGGCCTTTTACGTAACTGGAAAGGTAAATTTGCTGCTGCGACTGCTGCACAAAAATAAAATTAAAAACCATATATCTCTCTGTATAAACATTCCAAAGCCAGCAAAAGATGATTTTTGAATCACCTGCATTATTGCTTCTTTCCACCAACACAGAAAATTTAAAGCTGATTGTACTTCATCAGTCCTCAGCATATGGACAGCAGGTTCTGAATATGAATAACTTGGCTAGAAATGCTTTTAACCAAGAGCATCTGAAAACATCCCCAACTCTAGATTTATAAGTTGATTCACAGATTTATAGAATGTCAGCACTAAAGTGGACTGAAGGGAGCAGTTTAACCTATGCATTTTATAAATGGGAAAAAAAGTGAGGTTCGGTTATCAAGAGAGGGTGACATTTGTCTTTTACTATATAATAAGCTTCAAATAATCCCCATCATGAATAGTTCTCGGTGTTTGCTACAGAAGACAGGATCAAAGCATATGTTATTGAAAGATTGTATGTTCAGAATTAAAGCTGAAACTTGGACAAAATTAGATGTTCATAACATTTTTTGAGTACCAAAAAAAACAAAAGCTTATTGGCAACGTAGGAAAAATACTGAAAAGACAATTTGGTAATTTAAACTTGCCACTTTTAAATTTAAAATTGCCAACTAATAGGTTAAATTTCCATTGAAACATTGTTAAAAATATGTTCATCTTTATCTTTCTTCCTCATTTTGCTTTTGTTGCTAACACATCCTTAACTGGTTTAGGGAAGTGTATAGTCGGGTGGTCAAGGCTTGAGAATGAGGCTGCCTGAGTTCAAAGCCGAACATAGCAACTTACTGGCTGAATGGTCTTAGACAAATTAATGAACTTCTCTGTGCCATTGTTTCTCAACTATAAAATGGTAACAAATAGTTGCTTTCTTATGTGATTGTAGTAAGTATTGATCCACTTAATGTACAGAACCTACTTAGAATAGTACTTGGCACAGAGTAAATGGCACAGAAGTATTTGCAGCTATTATTATACTATAGCTACCCTTACTATCCAGGTAAATCTCGAGAAGTAGTGATTTCTTAAATTTTTAAACATATTCATATAAAGTATAAAATGAAAACTAAAAATTCATCATTATACTAGATTTATATAACAGATAAATTGTTACTATTCACACTTACATTTTCAAAAAATATTAAAGTGAACACCGGACATATACGTATGTTTGAAATTGTTAACAAAAAACATACAATTATGAGTAAGAATGTTTGAAAACTAATTTTTAGAAAAATTAAGCTTAGGATTTAGTGGCTGATCAGGAGAAAACTCATTTCACAGGCGTAATCTCTTGATTGACTAAATTTCTTCTTTTTTAATTAGGAAGAGGAACGCGTTCCCTTTACTACCTGGGGAAAATGTATACGTGTAGCCCTCTGTGCAAGTGCTGTCTTATTCTGGGTAAGAGTCTTTTGCAAATTTTTTACTATCCAATTTTAAATGTCGAGGAAACTAAAAGCCAAGCTGGAAACTACGTTGTCTCAGAAAATGGTTTCCAGAGAACTACCGAGCCACCGCATGGAGCTACTCTCAAGGTTCCAAAATGCCTACCTGTTCACAGTGGTTCTTCCAGTTCTTTTCATCTTATTTATTTAAATCAGATCAGTGGTCCAGGATTTTCCAGTTTCTGGTGCAGAGACCAAATGGGAGGCCTTAAGAATTCTGAAATTTTCCAATAGTAACAACTAAAAATGTCTAGGAATGGCTATAACAAAAAATAGGAACTATCAAAGAAAACATAAAAACTGCTGAGAGACATAAAAAAAGCCTTAAACTAATGATGCTGCATCAAAAGACAATACTTCTAAAATATCAGTATTTGTGAAATTAATTTTGGGTTTATAAATAAAATCATATTAGTATTATAATGAGAGTTTTATGGGCTCAAGAATAGCCAGACTAGAGAATAGGACATGAAGCCCAATATAGGCCCTGATATCAATAATAATATGAAAAGGGAGACATTCTAAATCAGTCAGAGAAGTAAAGATCACTCAGTAACTATAATGGAACACTTGTTAGATATTAAGGGGAAAAGGCAGAGATTGAAACCATACTGTGAACCACATACTATAATAAATTCCAGAAATATTAAAAAAGTAACACCAAAAAAGCGAGAAATAAATATTGATGAATATATGCTCTCTAGATGTAAAAAGACTTTCTAAACTTAAAAACAGTGGGAGAAGCTTCAGACGAAAATATTTAAAGATTTTCATACATCAGAAGCATCCTAAGTTTAAACAAAACACCAGAAAAATATTTGTTAACAAATAGGCCAAAGAGTTAATACCTTCGATAACATAAAAAGTCCAGATCACTTCTAAGATAACACCAAGGATCTCAGGAGCTAAGGAGGCAAAGAACGTGAATACACATTCACAAAAAAGAAAATGAAAAAGAAAAAAAGCGTGGCAGATGTCAAACCTCAATGGTAATTAAATCAGTGCACATGAAAATGGATACAATTTTTCATGTCTCAAATGCTAAGACTCAGTGTGAGGATGAAATGAGTGGTCAGTTCTCTCATACCTATTGGAATTTCATACTGCTCTGGCTTGCTTAGAAAGCAGTTCAGCAGTATGTACTGAGTCAAAAATATTCATAGGCTTTAATTCACTAATTCAGATTTTTAAAACTTTGAATCAGGAAGTATTTCAAAATGGTAAGTAGAAGTAAATATTTAGTCTTAGACATATTTATTACATATATATGCCAGAATATCCTTCCAACCCTTCATATAGTGGAATCTTATGCAGCCATAAAAAAGTATGTCCGTGAAAATATTTTATGACACATTAAAATGTTATGATTATGATAGGCTTAAGGAAAATATAAAATTATTAAAATGATTTTAGTATGCACACTACATGGTTCTGAAGGAATTATGCCTAGATATATTTTTCCTATTTTTATTTTTTTTAGTCTATTTTTATAGTTAGGAGCTTTTTAATTGAGGGCGATAGAAAATCTCCACCAAAAAAAAAAAAAAGACACATTAAAATGTTATGATTATGATAGGCTTAAGGAAAATATAAAATTATTAAAATGATTTTAGTATGCACACTACATGGTTCTGAAGGAATTATGCCTAGATATATTTTTCCTATTTTTATTTTTTTTAGTCTATTTTTATAGTTAGGAGCTTTTTAATTGAGGGCGATAGAAAATCTCCAAAAAAAAAAAAAAAAATGGGGATGGGTGGGATTTATTGGTTCCTGTAACTGAAAATCCCATGTCTGAGCTATGGCTTCATTCTAGGATAGATGCTGCAACCCTGACTATGTCAAGGGCTGTGTTTCATTTGGTCTTTATTCTGTATCCAGTGGTCCTCCAGCCTGCTGGTTCTAGGCACTCCCATACAGTTGCACAATGGCTGCAGCATTCCAGATCTCACATCACATCAAGAGAGGTGTCTGTTAGCAGCTTCCTCTATTGACAGAGGAAACTTCTCTCTCCCATGAGCACTAGTAGATAACTCCTCACATCTCAATAGCTCATGTTAGGTTATTTGTCAATCCTTGAATCAGTTGCTAAAGCCAGTAGAACAAGATACCTGTCTGTCTCAAACCAGTCAGGATCTATACCTCTGGAACCTCGGGGAAGGGGACTGGGGGGAGGGGGCTGTCCAGCCCAAACCACAGGACTGAAAAATATTCATTCCCCCAAAAGCAAAATCTGGGTCCTCTTCTAAAACTATGAACAGATCCGGGGTAGCAAACACAACTAACGTCCACTACAGGTTACTTTCAAACTTACTATGATGAGCATATATTAAAGTTATAGTGAGAAAAATATGTAAGAAACTTGGAGAATGAAAAGCTTTCTTCTTCCCTATGAAGAAATATTGAGCCCATCAAGTGCTCTGAAGAAGTATGGAAACCTATCAAGTTTGTAAAGCTCTGGAATGAATCAGAATTCATTTCAGAAACATGTGGTGGGAGGCAGTGCCATGGAGAGATTAGTGTGTCCTTAGAGTCCTTGAGTATCTCAGTTCTTTCACTTATTTGTTGCTTAATTTGGGGCAAATTGCTTAATCTCTCTGTGGCTCTATTTCCTCATCTTTAAAGAGATATAACACTATCTACCTCACAGGGCTGTTGTGAGGACTTAAAAAAATATTTGTGTGCTGAGGTGAATAGTAAGCATTTAAAGAATTGTAACTATTAATAATTTTTAAAATTGTTATGGAGATAATTTTTAAAAATACATCATGTTTAAATGGTCTCATCTACGGCCATGCCACCCTGAACACGCCCGATCTCGTCTGATCTTGGAAGCTAAGCAGGGTTGGGCCTGGTTAGTATTTGAGTGGTAGGCCACCGAAGAAGACCAGGTGCCATAGGCATAAAAAATAAATAAGGGATTGTAAGCTGACAAAGTTCTTGCAATCTGTGAGGTCAACCAAGGGTTGCCTCACCTAAAAAATAAAATAAAATAAAGGATCTCTACATATTGTGCTGAGCGAGGAAGACTCAATATATCTTCTCTAATATGTATTTCTCAGCCTTGGCTAATTTTCACATACACACACATACATTATTCCTTTCATAGTGTTAAGCTTTACCTGTGAAGGAAAGGAGATAATGAAAGAGATCAGAGGAGGAAAGATCATGTCTTCTTTACAAACTGATGGCTTAAAAAGAAAAACATTGGTCACCATAATCATAGCTAATATTTCTATAGCACTTTTCATGTGCCTGGTCTTGGATGTTTTTACCTGTAGTAACTCACTGAATCCTGATGACAATTATATAAGTTAGTTGCTGTTATCATCCCCCCATTGAAGCCCCAAAAGGTTAAGTAATTTGTACAAGGTCCCACAGCTAGTGGCAGAGCCGGAATTCCAATGCAGGAGTCAGGCTCCAGGACTGTGCTTGTAATCACTTCCTCTCCTGCTCTCCACGCGTGAAAACCAGCCTCCCTCTGTTACTGTAAACAACAGGACATGATTTGCTTGGTCCTGAAATTCACATTCTTTGTAGCTTTTCTCTCTTGTGACAGTCATCACAAGCAGTCAGACACATTGAGCACATGCTTCTGGAGTATGTCCAAGAAGGCAGATGTAGGGCAAACAATTTTCAAATGGGACCTTTAATGTGTATTGTTCAGTGGCAGAGGGAACCTGCCTAGTGACGAAGTGAAATCCTACCAACTACATGCAAACCATGTTTCAGGAACCTCCACTGACATTGGGTTCATGCAGTCAGAAATACAATGGATTAGTGAAATGAATCTTGTGCTAATGCAGTTATGGAAAACTGCCAATTTAAGATCTTAAGATGCAAGCATGGAAAGCTTCCTTCATCAGCAGAGACCCACTGCCATCTCTAGTCATTACCTCAGGGCACACCTGCGGCTTCTGAACACTGGTCTTGTGCAGAATCTCCCTTGGTACAGTAACTAGGACAAAAGCTAGCACCTGCCAACCCCGATCCAGGGATAGGTTCTCAGTCAGAAGGACACATATCCCCTTAATGGAGCAAAACACACTAATTTGTAACCTAAATAATTTCATAATTGTAGAAGGGAGTGCTCATTGGTTTTGCTATCGCAAAGACTTTTTTCCTTCTACCAGAACATGCTACCAGTTATTCCATTTTTACCCCATCTGAAGATATTCATATTCTCTTCTTCTTCCCTTTATCTCTCCCTCCCTCTTTCCTACCCGCCCTTTCTGATAGACCTTTTTTAGAGCGATTTTAGGTTTACAGAAAAATTACACAGAAAGTACAAAGTTGTCATGTACCCCTCGCTCCCACGCACAGCTTCCCTTGTTAGTGTCTTATTTTAGTGGATGCATGTGCTCTCTTTTGAATTCATTCCTTTTCCTTTCTTTGAAATTTAGCATGCTTGATGGCCACCTCTCTTGTGGCAGTTACGCGGGATTTAACATCACACATGTACCTTGTCCGTTTAAGTGTAGGGCCAGTTTTTCAGTTTAGAACTATGATTATTGGTGATTCATGCTTCCGTGTTTATTGTGTTTTCAGATCCTACTGATCATCGCTTCAGTTATTGGGATCATTGTCTATAGGCTCTCAGTGTTCATTGTATTTTCTGCAAAACTGCCCGAGAACCTTAATGTAACAGACCCAATCCAGAAGTATCTGACTCCACAGACAGCCACGTCCATCACTGCTTCCCTCATCAGCTTTATCATCATCATGATTCTGAACATCATCTATGAAAAAGTGGCAATCATGATAACTAATTTTGGTAAGTTCTTACCGTAGCTTAGGTCATTTTTAAGACACTTTTAGAACCTGGTCAAGAAAGAGACTGTATCTTTTAGGCATTTCAATTCCACCATATTAGAATTTTTAGAAAATTTCAAGTGTGAACATATTTTCCCCAGCCTGTATGGGAAACAAATTATCTACAGCTTTGCATTAGTAAAAGGAGCAAAGCAAAGACAGTCATTATAATGTCCAAGCTTTGTATAAACAGATCAGTGCCTAAAAATATTTTCAGTTTTATTAGATCATGTACCCTATTGTTGAAAGTAAATAGTATATTCATTGCAAATAAGTAGAATAGGGTCGTGGTTCCAGTAGCAAATATGCTCCTCCGTTGCTGAGAGGACAAGCAGTCACATTGTTACGTGTCTTCCCCCATTCTGTTCATATTAATATAGCTCCATTCTCATCAGCTCTCGGTTTGTGATAAATGTTTCTTCTCTCTGGCTCGTATCCCAGGCAACTGCTTTGTGGCAAAGTTAAGTGCTTCTCACACGCTGCATATGCCCGGGTCATTCGCTAAATGGTCTGCTCAGTGGTCATCTTCTGAGACCGATCAGTCTGATTTAAATTCTAAACTTGGAGGATGACCTGTTTTGTCTTTCCCAAATGCTTCTAACAAGTTGACCCTTGCTTTGTTTTCTTCAATACCTACCTTATTGCGATTCAGAAAAAGAGAATATCATTTAGCAGGCTGTTCAAAAATAATTTCCTGCCTGCTTAGACCCAAGAGAAGACAGTTCTTGCCCATTTGATAACATTGTGTTTGTATATTTTAAGGAACAGTTGAATATTTTTTTGCCATTCGGGATAGTGTATTTATGGGGGAGAAACTCATAAAAATGTGTAAACTTGAATTAACACAGTAGCTATATTAAGATCAAAATAGCTTAAATGGAAACAGTGTGAATTATATTTTTTTTAACATGTTAACTCATGTATCAGTGTCTTTGATTAGGGTCTCAAAGCTGTTCACAATTTTAAAATCTCACTTTTCTTTGCTTTAACTACAGAACTCCCAAGGACCCAGACTGATTATGAGAATAGCTTAACCATGAAGATGTTCTTATTCCAGTTTGTCAACTACTACTCTTCGTGTTTCTACATTGCATTCTTTAAGGGCAAATTTGTAGGTTATCCAGGAGATCCAGTTTATTGGCTGGGGAAATATAGAAATGAAGAGGTATGGATATAGAATTGTATCCTCTTGACAATTTAAGTGGCTTTGTGTTTTTTCCCAGTTGCCCAATGAACAGTTTCTTCGTTGTACGTTCTTAAATTCATTTTAGCCTCAACAGAATATCAGAAAAAAAAAAATAAAACTAATGACTCTGTTTCATGTTAGACCCATGTAAAATTTAAATAAGATTTTCTTTTTAAAATTCCAGTGTGACCCAGGTGGCTGTCTCTTTGAACTGACCACACAGCTGACAATAATCATGGGAGGAAAAGCAATCTGGAATAACATACAAGAGGTGTTACTCCCGTGAGTATTATATTGTGTAATCTTGGGGATAGGACGAGACAACGTCCCACCCATCCAAGTCATTTGCCTACATATCCCCATAGCTGCTTGCCTACCTCTAAAATGCAATAGACTGTATTTATTAAAGTTCTCCAGATAGAAAGTAAATGTGCCCATGTTTAAACTTTCAATTCAGGTAAGCCCACTGTTGCAAATTATAGTGACCTGAACTGTGCCTTCTGATATTTCAACTCCTGGCATAAAATATTAAGGCAGTATGTTTTGAGTTATCTTTTACTTGTTTGAAAAGTATGCTGTTAGCCAAATTAGAGAGCAAGTTGGGTCTTCTCATCACTGCTGCTTTTCTGTGTATAGCTGCCAGTTTCCTTCTAATTTTCATACGAAATTCTAATTTCCCAAAGATGTATTAGTTACTCTTGCTACCCAAACATACACCATCCCGAAAATACATAGAAAGGGAGAGAAAGCCTTACAAATCAGCACTTGTTTTTGTGCCATTTAACTATGTCAAAGGGAGCATAGTGAAATGAATTCCACCATAAACTTACATTCCTTTACCCCAACCCTACTTGGGGGTCCTTGGCTAGGATTCTTAGAGCAAATGAAGAAGCATATCTGGTACTGACACCTAGATCAGCACCTGTGGAGTGAATGAGTGACTCTTGTGTTTCAAACACACAACATAGAATTGTTTGTTGGACCCAGAGAACAAGCTCAAAGCTCTTTGGCCTTCCTAGCCTCACTTAGTTTCTCGATATTTAAGGCATT